GGCACAGTCAGGGGCGAGTCCACTCAAGGGCTAGGGTGGACTCAAGCCCCCCTCACTTTCCAAAATTTTCCTATTTTATATATATATATATATATATATATATATATATATATATATATATATATATATATATATATATATATATATATATATATATATATATATATATATATATATATATATATATATATATATGGGGGCGCGCGCGCGCGAGAGCAAGGGAGCGCGCGCGAGCGAGAGAGAGAGACACACACACACACACACACACACACACACACACACACACACACACACACACACACATATATATATATATATATATATATAGATATATATATATATATATATATATATATATATATATATATATTTAATTTTTTAGTTATTTAATTATATTATTTAAGCCCACTTATTTTTAGTCCACTTACTCAAAGCCCCTCATGTATGATTTGCTCTCATCTTCTATTTCTCAACTTCATTACGTTTCTTGAAAAAAAAAAAAAAAACTTTGTTCTCTCCCACAGTCACACTAATAGCGGTTAAATTGCCACCCATCGACGATCGTTTTAGCATTTGACAACTTCTCTATATCAATTTGATTATCGACTTGATATTCATGTTTCTTAAATTTTCATAGCAATTTAGCTTTCGCGATTCGTTTTGGTATTATCTTCTGAAAGTGAAGGAAAAAAATTCATATCAAATTTTCATCTTAAATTTCTTTCGTAGCAAATTTTTTTTGGGGGCGCTGCCCCCGAACCCCCGTGTGTTTAAGCCCCCCCTCACCAAACTTCCTGGCCTCGCCACTGGGCACAGTTGTGTCTGAACCACATTAATTCTTGTGTTCTGTTTATTTGCTTTAGTACAATATAACTGTGTTAACACAAGAATTACAGTTGTAACTAAAACATTGTTTCGACTAATCAAATTCTTACAACTAGAGAATTATTGTATTTATAGGCATATAAATCTACATAATACATTTGGTCCCTTCACGGTAACAATTTTTATTTAAAAATAATTTATTTAAAAATACATTTGGTGACCAGTAACGCATGGTCTGTAAATTTATATTTCTTGTGCAACGTTTAGTAATGTGACCAACTTTGATCTTGATGAACGTCAAAATTTGGTGATCCGACGTTGTTTAGATCCTCATTTTAGGAGATTATAATTAGGGTAATATTTATTACAGAAAATTCGGATTGCAATTTCGCAAATTGGGTTAATTGTTTCCAGAATTAAGAATAACAAAATAATAAGATATATTTAATTTATCTCGTTTTACTAGTTTTTATATTTTCTGAATTTGAGAACAGTTTGGTTTTAGTATAGGAAGAGAAAATAGAATAAATGATATAGAGAATATCTGATAATTATTGAAATATGTAGTGTAATTAATTGTTGTCCCTACGACCATGCGTGCGGTGGCGCCCACCGGTCTGTATGCATGCACGTGGGTTTGATGTTTGCATGTCTGATGGTAACTATACAAATCAAATAATCAATCACTCTAAACTTTATTGAATCGACTTAATTCATTCCAACCAAATATATAATCAAATTAATTATTTATTTGATTGGGGTCAGTGATATTGAGCAAATATCGAAGCATCAAAATATATGTAGTCTATTACGAGTTCAAAATTTATGTATTAATTTATAATTACACGCACGTACGTCAACTATGTATTAATGAATATTGTAATTATTATGAATATAATAAAACGTGAATGACAATATTAGAGAATGGATGTATGTGGGAGATGACAAGGAAGAAACGGAAAGGCACACGTACGTAGGAGTGAAAATGAATGAATGAATGAATGGCAATTTAGTAATTAAACATGTATAAGATATTGCTTCATACATTTGTGGTTGGTTTCTTGCTGAAATTGGCATCTAGCTTAGCTTAGCTTAGGTAGGTCATCTATATATCCCTAATGACCTTACATGCATGCATCATCTTTTCATCTCGTTCAAATGTTTTGTTAGATGATTGGTATGTGATATGCTTAATTGGTACAACCCAACAAGTCTATAATTTATTTACCTACTGGGTCACGAGCTCGATTTAGAAGAACACTATTACTAAAATTCATTTACCTTCAAATAAAGTTTGAACCCAACAAATTAATCTCGACCCAATCGACAATGCATAAATAATGTTTTAATTCATTTATTAAAGGTACGTCATATTATCTGAATAATACTACAAGTCATATTCTCTCAATTATTTCTACTATTCGCACGTCTGACTTGAGCGTTGGAGGAGTTTCCGCCGGATCAACCCCCGACCTAGTTCACGTATTCTCTGTTCAAGAAATCTATTGCAGAAAGACCTCCAACCATTCTGGAAGAGCTACTAAGTCGCGCTGAGAAACATGTGCGCATCGAAGAGGCTTTGGCCCTCCCTCACCCCAAGAGGAAAAGAGATGAAGATCACTTCAACACACGGCGACGAGATGGCCGACGACAATCGTCGACATCTCATTGACAATCTCCTTCTACATCCCTGGACTTCCAACGATGTCAATGACACTTGGAGTCTCTCGAGCCCATAACATTGTTAGTGATCGCATCATCCTAAACTGGGGGGCTATCCTACCTTCAGGATGATGCATCCCCTCACATCTCTACATCAATTGGACGAAACACCTACATCATGACTTAGTACAAGTTTAGCTATTTCGAGCGATTCGCTCCCTACTTGTTTAGTTACATTCGCCTCAAGCTAGTAGGTTTGTAACCTTCACATTTTCAAGCAATGAATAAAGCAAGTTATTTCCCTTACACTCGGTGTTATTGCTCTGCCACTACATAATTATTAGTTCAAGTCAACATTAACCCTAGGAACACTTAGAGATGTTATGATAATCTATATAGCCTAGCCAGCTTGATTTCATAAACTTCTCTATATGTCTTCATTGGGTCCTACATTTAAAACATGGCCGCGGTCCTAACATACTTACGACCCATGAGGTCTAACAAGGGCCACGATCCCCATCAAAAAATCTTGAGAGACCGATCCCCTCATCAAGTACATCACGCACAAGGCTAAATGTATACACATACAAGCAATGCGTCAAACCAATGACAATGTCATACAATATAAACGTCAAATGAAATAGTAGTGGGCAAACTCATCTACTCCAAGTATGAAGACAAAATGAAGAACCTACAATTTAGCGCCACTCGGGCAACGTGCCATTAAAAAAAAAAAAAAAAAAAAGCAATCGCGCGGCGCCTCTTCACAGACCGCGCGTGAGTCCACGCGCCACGCGCCTGACTTTACCGCACCAAACACCTCTCCGCGCGTGCAATGCACGCGCGCCAGCTTTTCTCTCTCCGCTCGTTAATGCGAGCGCGTCTCCCCATGTGCTCGCGAATTCCAATGTGCTCCAGCCCTTTGCACCCCATTTCTCTCTCCTCGCCTCGGGCTACGTGCACGGCTCCTACACAAAGAATAATCGCGCGGCTAGGCTCCAATTCGCGCGGCTCGCCTCTCACATGGCAGTCGCGCGGCTCCCCTCTCACATGGCAACCGTGCAGCTCGCCAGCTCCCTTCACATCAAATCATGCGCGAATTTCAACACGCTCTACTAAATCGGCACGCTTCACCAAATCGCCCACGAATTTCAACACGCTCCACTAAATAGCGCGCACTCTCCGACGCATCTCACCAAATCGCGCACGCTCTCAAACGGATAAATACAAATTATTATCTCTCCACACAAGCCAACGATTAACGGAACACTACAACTCCGATCTACTCTCGACACGATCCGGTATCCTCTCCGACTTGGCTCCTACATCGACTTGAGAGTGGGGGCTTATGATATTGTTATAATTATTTCGTGCAAATTAATTATATATTTGTGTCGGATGAATCCCAGATTCAGTTTTAGATATTGTTTTACTGTTTTACGGAGAGTTGCAACAGTTAATGAAACAGTATTAAAAAAGACACAAATTTTAAAGTGGTTCGGATACAATTGTACCCTACATCCACGGGGACTTACTAGTGAAATTTACTATTTTTTAGTTTTACGAATACAATAATAGGACTTAATCAAAATACAAAGACTCCCTCTTTGTCGACATCGTTCTTATATACTACGCTGAATTATCAATCTTCACTTTGCAGCACGTCCCTTGCTCCGCACAGTTGAAATCCCTTCAACGATGAATAGACGAGCCCTACAAAAGGACAACATTACAACACACTGGTGCTTCTATATTTATACTTCCTTGGTTGAATAGACGAGCCCTACAAAAGATTAGAGCCCATTAGGTTAGTTTCAATCTTACGTAAGGAAAAGGAATTGTGTGATAAGGAAAGTCTTTGTCAAGGAAATTCCTTTTTAACACATGACTCACACTATTAAATAAATTAATGACAAAATAAGAGTTTAAAGCATTAAGGAAACTTCCCTAGCTTTAGACACACGTTTTTCACACGTGCTGAAAAATAAAGTCAGAATCCTCTCGGATTGTAACAGATATGCCTAATTGGGCCAACCCAATAAGCCTACAGTTTCTCTACCTATTGGGCCACGAGTCCGATTTAGAAGAACACTATTACGAAAACCCAATTACCTTCAAATAAGGTTTGGGCCCAACAAATTAATCTCGACCCAATCGACAAGGTATAAATAACATTTTAATTCATTTATTAAAGGTACGCCCTATTATCTGAATAATACTACAAGTCATATTCTCTCAATTATTTCTACTATCCGCACGTCATACTTGAACGTAGGAGGAGTTTCTGCTGGATCAACCACTACAAAAAAAAGTATTTTATGTGACAATCTTTTGTGACGAAACCAAATTTTGTCACAGTAAAAGGGGATATTGTGACAAAATTTCACATCGTCACATAAGTGAACATTTTACGTGATGAAGGTTAATTTCGTCACATAAACTTTATTTTATGTGATAATAATGAAAAATCGTCACCATAGAACATACAAGATCTTAAAAAAATTGACGGTCCCTATTTTGTGACAAATATTTAGGTTTCTTATGACAAAGTAATTTTGTCACAACATAAAAATAATATAAATTACTTATTACTAAAAAATCTCCACCAAAATTTCTAGACATGCCCGATCCCTGTCTTTTCTTCTCTCATAAATTCCCTTTTTTTTCCTTCTCCTTTTTTATTTGTTCACTTTTTAATTGAAGACCATCGTTGCACCACCACCACCATCATTGCACCGCCATCTTTGCACCGCCATCACCATTGATCTGGCTCTTCGATCTGGCTTTCGCGTCCACCACCATCGTTGCACCGCCAGTGTTCGTTTGCCTTCGCCACCGCCAGTGTTCGTTTCCCTTCGCCTCCGCCAATCTCAATCGATTCAGGTATAATTTCTAATTTATTTTTCTCTCCATCTCCCCTCTTCACTCTAACTCCACCACTCCCGTTTTCTTCTCTCCATTACTTCAATGGAATGTTAGGGTTTTTGCATAAAAGGGCCAAAATTCCGTTATGTTCTCAAAATTAAGTTTCGCAGTTTTATGATTTTATGTTTAAAACCTATTTAGGCTGATGCCGAAAATTGCCGAGGTTGGAGTCGATCGGAGCTCGTGAATGGGAATTAGGATTCTCAGCCATTAGGTTCTTCGTTCAATACCATTATCTTATTATCTTAACTCTTAAGCGATAGAGGTTGTCTCGTCCATCTATTGATTACTCTTTTTTTTTTTTTTAATTTGAGATTCCATTATTGAAGCATAGTTCAAACTGCAATTTGAAGATAACAGTAATACATTTTGAGCTGAAAGTAAATTTTTGGGTCCCTTTGCTCCACTTGTTTGTCAAACATAAAAAATTGATCTACTTTTATAGCACGTTTTGGAAAGGGGGAAACCGCTTGTACGGAGTCAAAATATCCGCAAATTGTGTGGGAAAATTGTACAAAGGAGCCAGCACAAGTATGCATCAAATTTTGTAGAGAAATGTTTAGAGTTTGGCGATGCTGCTGAACGGGAGTTCTTGATTGATGAGATCCTTCTGCAGTTTGAAGACAATGACAATTTACTGGTGAGAGAATCTGTTATTCAACACCTTGTTTGAAGAATAAACTATATACATTATTTATCTATACCTAGTTGATGTCTCTTGGCATCATTCTTTCTGCCCTTTTAACTGGCTAACACTATAATAAGGATTTCAGCGTGGATGTGCCTTTTTTAATCAGTTGTTTATATATTTATTTATTTTTTTTCATTTTTAGGTGATGGTGAAGGACCAGTTTGCAAATTACGTAGTCCAGAAGATTCTTGAAATTAGTAACGATACACAGAGAGAAACATTGTTTCATCGAATTCGGCTTCATCTCATTGCTTTCTGTCTTTTTTCAGTTTTCAATTTTCAATGATGGTGAGAACGTTATATAGAACTCGTAAAAGATCTTTCTGCAGCTGTGTTAATGATTGCAACTAACTGCAGTTGTTGATTGATGTATGCAGATAATGGAAGTACCTCAAAGCCGTAGGGTTTGCTTTGAGTGTCGGAGAATTATTTTACGAGATTCTCTGCTCTTATCTGACATTGAAATGGATAACTGAGATAAGCTCATAATACTCCAACCTCCGGTCGACAAGTGCTAGGCAGTGCTTTTAGAAGTGAGGTTGAAATTACAATGTCGGTACGTATATATGTGAGAATTTACCAGTGTGGTATAAATTTTAGTACAAATGTGTGAGTAATGTATAGATAGAAGCAAGGGACTTGCTTAGGTGTAGTTTGAATGCTGATTCGTCAATCTGTAGAGTGTGTGTTTTATTTGAGAAATTGAGTTGCAAATCATGGTAAGGAAATGGAATTATCAAACAAATAATAAGGTTTTTTCTGTATGCCTTTGGGTCAATGCTTTAATCACTAAAGAGTGTTTTATATCCATTTATCATTATTTTCGTATTAATGGATGTACACACTTTGACTGCAGGTATACTGATGTGGTTTGGTGCTCGGCTGATGAGTTCTTCATTCCGCCTCCGACAACCCTCTCCCTCCGCCTCCCGTCCAAACCAGGGAAACTTGGTTTTGCAGAAGTTTCAGTCAAGATTCATCACTATGCTTGTGATCTATATCTGCTCAAAACTCAACTATATCGGAGAAATTGGCTGAAATATACACACACACACACACACACACACACACACACACACACACACAACATTTTTGTTGAGTATATTGTGTAATGCTTACATTTGCATTTGATTTGAGGTTATGTGTTTTTCTTTCAATCGTAGCTTGATCGAAATGCAGCATAGTAACAAAACCGTGCAGCTTCTGCTGAAAATAACGTTGTTTTATTTCGCAGACGAAATCGATGGCTTATGTCTGATCATCTTTCTTGGCTTATAGCTGATATTCACTCAAGCTAATAGAGACCACTCAAGCTTACTCGGGCAAGATGACCTATGGGTATATTTCTCTCCCTTTCTTGATACTTCATATTATATGCATGTATTTGGATATATTATATGCAATGATATCTCTGTAGTTTTAGTTTCTATGTAGCTGAGTGTACTTTGGTTGCGGATGTGTAAGTCTTTGACGGCGTATTTGTGGAACTTGTTAGAAGTTAGAATCCTATGTGATTATCTATTATGATATTGGTTGTTTTGTCTAGAAAACTGGACCTTACAAGAAGAAGCAGACATATAATAGAGCAAACTTCTGCTTTATCTAAGTTCAGAAGTTCAAAAATGTTTTCCTATGTGTTAACATCAATTACATTGGAGACCAAAAAGAAATAAGAAAAAAAATAACGCAAGAGCATTAGAATGCTTTCTTTATTTTATTTTTTTATTTTTTTATTGATTGAGGTAACTGCCATAACATTTGTTTTATTACTAATTGTTTGTGTTATATGTATATTTCATTTATGTCTAGAACTAATGGAGGTAATGTTTTTCTATGTTATGGATTAAGTTTTGTTGGTACAGGTTGATAGAAGGTACAAGTACTTCTGTAATTGGATGGAAAAGGAGTATCTTCACTATTATAAGTAATTGCTGCAACTGTTAAGAGATGGAATTACGGCCACAAAGAAGGCTAAGGGGAAGAAGGATACAATATCGTTAGGTGCAAACTAATGATTATAGCTTTTATTTATATTTTATTATAGCTTTTGAGTGTAAACTAGAATGTGAGGTTTTATGTAAGTGTGATAGTAGTACTACATATTGCAATATAAGTATTTTTTTTTATTTCAGAATCATTCTTTAGTTCAATGAAGTTTAATTCTATTATTTTTGTATATTAGAAAAGTAAAAATTAAGGCATGTATATATTATATGATAAATTATGTTGTCAGGTAAATTTTACATTATAAAAATGTATTTTATGGGACAAAATTTTTGTCTCAATAGATCTTGTAGTTCATGTGACGAAATAATTTGTCACAATAAGCAGCACCTACTGTGACGAAATAAGCTTGTTGTGACAAATTTAAGTTTTTTATGTGACGAACATTTTGTCGCAAAAACACACAATTCTGTGACGAAATTACATTCCGTCACAATCTCTGGTGACAAAAACAGTATTTCGTCACAAAACACCTTTCGCGACAGGCCCTACGCGACGAACGCTGCGACGAAATAATTTGTCACATAAATGTTTATGTGACGAAAGTTTAAGTTTGAGTGACAAATTTTTTCGTCACATAAAATGCTTTTTTTTGTAGTGAACCCCCAACCTAGTTCACGTGTTCTCTGTTCGCATGTATTTCACGGTCATCTAGCACGTGAGCAGTGATCCATTTTGCTCTCTCAGCTCCCTCTATTTCAACTATAAGGTGATCTATTTATAGTATTATCAGTATGTAGGGGCATATTTAGTAGAAGAGTTCAATTTAAAATGAGCTAGGGTGAGTAAAAAGATAATGAGAATTCAACCGGGAATTGCCCTGATTCTTTTTGGGGCATTTGTAGAGATCGATCGAATAACACAAAAATAAATAAATATTTTCTTATGGAGCTCGATCTCATTGCACTTCCGAACTTAGAAAATTTTGCCTCCAAATAGTGCACTTATATACAGATATAAATAGAAGAATTACTGAATTCATCGAAGAGGGTGAAATTACTTCAACAAGATGGAGGATGTAGTTATCCACGGAACCATCATTGATCAATTGTTAGAGCGTACGTACGTGATAAATATGGATACAACTAACCTTTAGGCGCCTTTTGGTTCGCTGGATTTGGCCGGATAGATCTTGTAATCCACCCGGTTCTCATCTTTGGTTGATTTAAGGTGGAACCCGGATAGATCATGGGCCCGGGTCGCGATCTGCCAATCAGCGGATATAAGATCCGGCCAGGGGAGGTGAGATCTGTGAATCCCATCCTTTTCTCGCTCCTACCTCACATGTATTTATACGTTTATGCCCTCATTTTTCTTTCGTTATGACAATGTACTGCGTATATAATACATTTTCCCCCAATCTCATATCTCACAAGCCCTAGCAACCCGACTATCAATTCTCTACTCAAATTGGTTTCTTGCCCTATCGATTCTGTTTTTTTCTTCCATAATCATGCTTAATGTTTGAGTTTTATTTTATTTCCTTTAATTTATTTTTTTGTTCTGAATTATAAATTTGTTGAACCAGTTTAAAGTCGGCGGCGGCGGTGGCCGATTGTAGCATCAGTCAGTTTCGCTTCATGGAGCTTTACCTTAAAGTCAGTGGTGGACGATTGTAGCATCAGCAAGTCGTCGATAGTGGAAGCGTACATCTCAAACGGGTTAGTTCTATGAACTCTCAAATTCTTTGTGGGTATGTTTCTGAATAAATTATTTTTCTTTCACATAAAAATTGGGACTTTCAAATGGAGTTATAATCGGTCCTGGAATGATTATTAATAATTTATTTATTGACTGTAATTGTTGTGTGTTACTGTTGGTTATAATTTGTGATTATCGGACTATTTTATGCCATCGGGGGTTCGAGTAAACCGATTGTATTGTATTCTCTGCTTAATTTCATGTTTCGACTTTCGACCAAACACATGAGAAAGAGAATATTAATAAAGTATAAAGTTACTGCTTAAATAATTTTAGTATGGGGTTAATTACATGGTTGAATGTGTACCTTAAACCCTGTAATGGCGGAGGTACGAAACAAGCTCTGGTTCTGGGGTTTGATGGTTGTTGGGTGCTAAATACCTAACACGCAAGTGCACGTATCGCAAACAAGTAGTAAAAGTGGACTCGTGAGAGTCAGATGTCGATCCCACAGGGAATACTCAAATTATCTAATCCTAAGTACCAAATTCTAACAATTATGATTTTTATCCAGCCTACGCAAAGTTGTCAAATTAAATCAACTAAATAATTAAAATAATTATGAAAGCAAATAAACACGAGAAAATATCAATAAAAACGGACCTAGGATTTTATCTTCCCCCTATGCAAGAATTGCTCACCCGAAACCCCTCAATTATGCAATATATGATTCATTATTATTAACCCGAGACACTAATTTACTCATAACCCGCTGTCGCGTGTATTATGAGTCTATTATTCATAAACGGTTCACTATATGTCTATGCAAACAAGTTATGAATAAAACATTAACTAACAAGTTTCGTAAATGGCTACCTAAGGTGATATCTGTATGTCTACGACACCACATGCAATTGACACACTCATCCGGTGAAAACTACTCGAAGGTTCTTATACTTACCGTCTAATTATCAAAATAGCTCTGTCGAGTCAATCCCAATAATCACAGATAAAGCACATAAATTGATCAAGTTCATGCACTAACAATCATAACAAGTATAAGAAATAATCATAAAATCATAATTGCATAATCTCAAGAAAACGGGTTCACCATCCCCACATAGGGTTCCAACAAAATCCTAGATTAAAAACTTAGCTACTCGTAATTCTTATGATAAGCAAAATAGAATAAATAAAATAAATAAGAAAAACTATGCTCGAGTCTGCGTTGATCTTCGTTCTTCGCGTTTTGTGGTGTAAAATTTCGTCCTTATGGTGTAGAGACTTTTTGCTTTTATAGGC